CCACCCTCAGGGCTGCCCATGAGCGGGCACTGCTGTCACCACCCACAGTCCTAGGGGGACGGACACCCAGGGAGGGTGAGTGAATGAGCCAAGGTCACAGCTCTGAGCGGGGAGTGACCAGCTTGGCAGGTGATGGCCTGGACACCAGGCGAGGCTTGGACCTTCTACCCTCAGCCCTGTGGGTAGCCATCGTTAGACAGGTCGGACCCCATGCCGACACCCCCGGCCACGGCAGAGCCAGGTTTTGTAGTGGCAGATCCAGTTTGGGGGCTCCCTGTGCAAGGGCCCGAGGCCTGGGGCTCACTGATGTCACAGTGGAGCAGCATCCTCCTCCCTCTGCCCCCCGCCCTCGGGGGTCCTGAAGCCTGGGGGGACAGCCAGCCGCCGGGGGTGACGCGGGGACTGGACATCCGGCCGCTCCCAGGCTGTCTGCTGACTGTGCAGTGGGGACGTGGGTCTCACGACTGAGCCAGCCCCACCTTCTGGTCAGGACCCCCAGCGGTCTTAGGAGTCTCCCGCCATGGGCAGCCCCCGGGCCCCACGGCCACCACCTGTCATCCCTCACGCCGTCCAGCTCCTCCTTCCCCTCAGCCTGCAATGTCCACTTCAGCCTTTCTTCCCACCCTAGGAGAGGAGAAGCACCCCAGCACCGTGTTCTCGGGTGCCCCACACTCTCCCTGGACCTGAAGCTGCAAACCCAGCTCAGCCCTCCGAGTTGTCACCCTGGGCTGGCCCCGGCTCCCTGCCTCGGAGTCCCTGATGCTTCACGGACAGAGCCCACAGCTGCTCCAAACAACCCGGCCGCCATTCCCACCCACCACTCAGAGGGCACACAGCCAGCCAGTCTGACCCTGAGACGGCCAGGCCTCCATGAGCCTGCTGCCAGGAAGCTCCCCTGCAGGACAGGAGGCAGAGGACACTGAGGGACCCTGCTGTCTCACTGCGCCCTCCACACCGGCCTTTCTCAGGGGCCAGAGCTGTAGGAACACGGTGTGAGCACATGCAGGACTGGCCGGGACCTGCCCCTGGCCTCCTGCTGTCCCTCCACTGCTCGTGCTCTGGGCCTGCAGAGTGTCGCCCCAACCTCGTCCTCCGTCCTTCAGCACTAAGGCTGCACTGGGTGAGGACCGAGGTGCAGAGAGATCTCTCCTTGGGGCCCTCACGGAGCTCTGCAGACGCCACCCCTCCACCTGTGCTGCCGCCCAGCCTGCCCGGGCCTGGGGGCCAGACCGCCCTGCCCCTCTCCCACACCCCACCCCATGCTCACAGGCTGGTGCTGGGCTCAGTCAAAACTGGTGCAGAAAACTTACAAGTGGGCACGAGCCCTGTGCAAGGACACCTGAGTGTCACAGGCATCATGAAATAGCATCATCAGAAGATGTGTGTGTGAGCATGTGTGTGCATGTGTCACACCCGTATCCACGTGCACAGGCCTCGCTGAGCAGCTAGAGCAGGGCTCTGGAGACCATGGCCTCCACCCCCTCTGCTGCTTCCCGCTGGTGACCGTGGCAGGCCACCTGCCCTCTCTGCCCCCTGGCCTGCAAAGGCAAGGTGGTGACGCCACACACGTGGTCTCCCAGGTGCACCTGAAAGGACAGACAAAGGGGAGCCTCCCACTGGCCAGGGACGCGCGTCCAACACTGTCACTGAAGGTGTCCCCACTTTACAAAGCTCGAGACATCTGACACGCTCTTTGGTTTTCAATGGAACACAGCGAGGGCTCCTTGGCGAGGGGCAGGGTCTACCGCCAGGATGCCCGAGAAGGTCCGTGGGCACAGCGGTGAGCGTGGTGCCTCTGCTGCGGCACCCGCACCACAGTGGGCGTCCCGAGACCTGCTTCCTCCTAGCTTGTCCCCACAGAGCCACGGGCTCTGTGTTCAGCTCCCAGGGACCGTCCCAGCAGCCCACCACAAATCCCAGCACCTCTCCCCTTGCCCAGTGAGTGAAAGAGGCCAGAGGGGGGAGGTGACACCCTTGTCCCCCAATAGGAGGTGGCAGGGCCCGATGCAAGTCAGCACCCAGCCCAGGCTCCGGCCACTCTCTACGGCCTTGCTTCCCCTCACAGTCTCCTTGGATAGTTGGGGATCCCGCGGCTCCTGCTCCTTGTGAGATGCAGAAACCCAGGCTCCAGGATGCGCAGACGGGGGAGCCCCAGGCCACCTGGAGCCCCCAGGCCACCGGCAGCTCGCAGTCAGCCCAGGTGGCTCCATACAGACCTGTCCCCACCCCCGCAGGCCGGCTCCAGAAGGGGGGTTTCTCCGGCCAGCCGGGGCTTGTGCACTGCCCCTGGCTGCTCCCAGCAGGTTCCCCGCCTGCCCTGTCCCTGCTCCTGGCCCTGGGCCCACAGCACAGCTCCTGGCCCTTCCCAGACTTGGTGGGGAGGGTTGAAAGATGCCTGCGCTTCTGGCAGAGCCCCAGTGGGGTCCTCAGCAGCCCCCAGTCTGGCCAGTGCTGAGGCGATTAGTGGGCATGACGGCGGCCAGCTGCTCGCTCGGTCCGGAGACAGAGCAAAGCTGCTCCGTTACACTCCTGGACGATCCCCTGCGTTCTGCTCTGGAATCACCAGGACAGCCAAACCCCAGGAATCTCTGTCTGCTCGAAGGGATCAAATCCACCATGTCGCTGCCCACGCTTGGGTCCTGGAAAGTCTCTTGGACACGGTTTAGGCCGCAGCTTCTGGATTTGATTACGAAGAAATCAGCTCCCCATCTGAACCCTCCTCTCCACACTGGGCTGCTGGAATGTGCGTCTGGCCGACTCTCAGCAGCTCAGGTGTTTCTTGAAGCCACCGGGCTGACCAGCACCCACCTGGATAGTGCAGGAAGAGAGACGCAGGACCTGCCAGGGCCCCAGATTGTCACAACCAGATGACTTACAGCAAGAGAGTGCACGCTCCAGTCTGGAGCCCCGAAGTCCCAAGTCAAGCTGCAGGCAGCCACGCTCCCTCCAGAGGCTCCGCGAGGCTCCTGCCCGCACCTTCCAGCTCCTGGCGGCTCCTGGTGGCTCCAGGTGTCCTTTGGCTTGTGGCCACAGCGCTCCTGCCTCTGTCTCTGTCTTTACCCGGCTTCTCTCTGAACCCCTTCTAAGGATGCCGTCTTTGGGTCCAAAGCCTGCCAGGTCCCCCAGGACAATCACCGAGGTCCTGGATGTAGTCGTCTGTGCAGGGACCCCCCACATGAGAAGCTGGAGGGGAGACCTGAGGGGCGAGCCCCCACCCTGGACACGTAGCATGCCCCCGCCCCCCGCACTCCCTGCAGGAGCAGGCAGGGCCCTCGCCACCCACGACCCTGAGCACTGGCTGCGCTCTGGGCCCTGGTAAAGCGCCTCCCCGGCCCTGGAATCGGGCACCTGCTCCTTGTAATTCTCCAAGAGGCTGGAGCACAGGCTCACCCAGGGTCACCTGGCCAGCAGGTGGCCAAGCTGGGCTTGCTCCAGTGTGGCCAACTCTGAATGCTGGCCACATCACCCACTAGAGGTCACCCACCTGAGCTGAGCTGAGCTGGGCTCGCCAAGCAGCCCTGGCTCTCAGCCACATCTGTCCCAGGAATGCCTAGTTATGTCTGTCCTAGAGCCACCAAGAGGCCTGGGCCCGCTGCCGCTGACCCTCCTACTCTCTGTCCTCAAGCAGATGGGTGACACGGGTGGATGGGGTGGGTGGAGGCCTCAGCCCCGCACTGAGTCAGAGCTCAGTGTGTGGCAGCCACTGTGACCCTCAGTCCCCTCCAAGGTGCCCGAGCTCTCTGGCGCCAGCGTCCCCTCTCCACCCAGCTGCTCTCTAGGACCTCTCTGGTTTTCAGTGATGCACGTAGTGGGTGGTTGGGGGATGAGGACGGTGGCTTTGCCTCATGAGCAGCTGCACATGGGGACAGGCTGGGAAGTCCACTGCTGAGCGGCGCGGGGCTCTGATGGCCTGCCAGGGGTGATAGCCAGGCCTGTTTGCTTTGCCTTATCTGGGTGTCCTGCACCAACCTCCCTGTGGAGGTTATCAGTCGGCAGCGGCCGTGGCCTTTCCCACGCCACCATCTGTGCCCACGACCGAGGCCCCTCCCAGCAGAGCCCGTCTTCCAGAGTCGCTCCATCAGCTCTTGGCCGAGGGCTGCAGAGCTGCTCTCCAAGGAGGGGTCCGAGGTGGCGAGCAGGAGGGACCCCCGGACACCTCCTCCAGCTGACGGCACACAGAAGCCCCTGGGTCCCAGCTGGCCAGCCAGCAGCAGAGTGCCCGGGACCTGATCAACGGGCACTCACTCTCACGCCCGCTGGGCTCCGGGTGCAGGAGCCGAGGCCCAGGTGGGGCGAGCAGGTCCTGGAGGCTCCCAGGCACCTGCTCCGGCCTCTGCAGCTCTGGGTGGCCGCCGTTTTGTGTCCCTTGACTTGAAGACCACGACTTGGATCTCTGCCTTCTCCGCATGGCTCCTCCCTGGGCACCATGTCCAGATGGCCCCTTTCCCTAGAGTCACAGTCACACCTATTAGGGCCACACTATTGACCTGGTCTTACCTTGGTCACGTCCACAAGGACCCACAGCACAGACCGACGGTCACGGCTCCCACAGCTCCAAGCTCTGCCCCACCCTGGTCAACGAAGCAGCTTGTCAGGGGAGGCCGGATCCCAGCAGGAAAACAGGAGGGGGCCCAGGCACCCAGCGGTCCCTGTCCTCTGGAAGACCCCTCCCTCCTGGTCCACAGCATGCCCACATCTGCCAGGTGGAGTACAGTCAGAGGCTGGGCCCAGGCTGACCTGGGCCCTCAGGGTCCTGAACTGGTGCCCACGTTCCTGTGCTTGGTTTTGGCCTCACAACCCCGAAGGGTGCCTGGACCATGCTCCTCCCGGAGGAACCCGAGGCTCAGAGAGAGATCAGCTGGTCAACGAAGCCCAGCTGGCCGGGGTGGCGAGGCATCCAAAGAAAGTGCATTGGCACCGCAGCCTGAGGGCCCCACAGCACCACCCGGGAAAAGCCAGAGACCTGTGCCCCTTGGTGCAGACGGTGAGGGACACACTTCTGGGGGTCAGAAGCTCCCAGGGACTCTCAGGAGCAGCTCCGCCGAGGAGCATGCGCCTAGTTCGATTCCAGCTCTCACTTGCTCGCTGTGTGGCTGGGGCAAGTCTCCTGACCTCTCTGCGCCTCCGTTTCCTCCTCTGAAAACTGGGCATGAAAATAGCACCAGTCGCTGAGCTTGTCCTGGGAAATGAAGTGGAAGGAGCCAGGCTCCCCTGGGCCTGGAGAAGCGCAGTGCTCACCCTTGAGAGCAGCTTGCGGCTCTGGCCGAGGTCGGCTCAGTGGCCCTGAGCTGCTCTACCCTAATTTATGTCCACGGTGAGCCCCTGTCCCCGTCCCTGCCGCAGACCATGACATCTTACTCTCAAAGCCTGTCAGAGCCACTAGAAAGGCGATAAATCTCCGGCCTTTGCCACCCTCCCCCTCCTCCCCGTAGAGACCACGCTGTCAGAAACGGGTCCGGCCTGTGAAACTGAACCCACCCCGGCACGCCCCGAGAAAGTGGCGGCATCTGCAGCCGCCATCGCCTTATCTGATGGGAAACCAATACCCGCCTTTCCCCCGCCCCAGGCTCTGGGGAGAGTTTTGCAGGAGGAGCTTGGCCTTGATCTAATCGGGGTTCGCCCCCCAGGACGGGCAAACGTCCACAGAGGGGCCAGGTGGAGCCACAGCCGCCCGGAGGAGAATCAGGGGGACAGAAGGAGAGTCACAGACCCCCGACCCCGCCACCAGCTCCCGCTCTGGATCTGTCTTGCCACAGGTTTGGGGCAATGACGACAGTCCTCTCTTATTCTCCGGGAAAGGACATTACTGACTTATAGAAAGAACAGCCCAAGGGTGGATCTGGGACTTCAGGGGTGGCTTGGGGTCTTCAGGGGTGGCTTGCCCCAGAGTTCAAATAATACCTCCAGAAACTGACTCCCCGGGGCCACTGGGCCCCATCTAGGCTCTGCTTGGACCTCATGTGGTCAGAGGTGCTGCCGCAGGTCCCGGCACCACATGACTCCAGCTCTCCGTGCAGCAGGGAAAGGTGAAAGTCTGTCCCAGCCAGAACCCCCAGGTGGCTGCACTGGTCTGGCTCGAACCTGCACCTGGCCAGGTGAAAGGTCTTTGCTGGACTCAGGCCTCCAAGTTCTGCTGGCCCCAGAGAACTTGGACTCAAAGGGGTCACACAGGGAGTCAACGCCAGCTCAGGCGCCTGGGCGTTGGGAAAGGGAGGCAGACCTCAGAGCGGGCCGAAAGGTAGCAGCCGCAGCTCCTCCCACACGGCCGGCTGGGGCTGCTGGGCACTGCAAGGTGAGTGTCCCCGGGACCCAGCTCACAGTACGTCCCGTCCAGGCAGGCTGCAGGCCCGGCAGGCGCAGCCACTGGGAAGTGCACCTGAGCGTCCCGCCTCTGTTGCAGGAGAGCACCACACACCCCACCCAGCTCGCGGCAGAGCCTGAGGTCCAGGAGTCGGCAGCCCGCTGCCTGGGGCTCCTCCCTGCACCCCCAGCCCCACCGCCCGTGGTCCTGCCTTTGCTTCTGCACCTGGTCCCCGTGGCCCCACCTTTCCCTGTGGACACTCTGCCTGCACCAGGCCCCGCAGGGTCACCCAGGACGACCGCGGATCCTTCACTCACCACACGGCGAGGACCCTGTCCCAGTAAGGCCACGGAGACGGGTGGCAGGGGTTGGCACAGATACCCGGGGGGCACTTTTGGCCACACGTCAGGGAGGAGATAACGGCTCTGCAGACGGGCGCAGACCTTGTCTGTACAGACAGAGCCACTGCTGCCGGGGACAAGCCCTAGTCCATGGAGCTCCTGCAAGGACCTTTGACCCCACCAACGAGTGACAGCGAGCCCCGGCCCACTGAGGCCACCATGCCCCGGCTGCTCCTCGGAGCTCCCACCCACTTCCCCGGGGGGGGGGGGCTTCTGTGGACCCGGGTACTCCACGAGGAAGCTAAGATTCAGCTGTCCCTAAAGGCCGCGTGTAGGGGATGCGGCGCCCCCACGGCTCCCCGTGCACCCTGGGTCCCTGTCGGGAAGCCATGGCTGGAAGGCACACCAGCCTGAGCCTTGTGCTCTCCAGCCTGGCGCTCGGGCTCCCCGAGGCACCCGCGGCCCTCCAGTGAGCACGCGAGCTTGGGGCCTGGCCCGGGGCGCAGTGGAGAGGAGGGACACTCTCTCTGCCTCCGGGGACTCAGAATCTCGAAATAGAAGGTGCCCAGTGAGACCCAGGTAACCTGCTAGACGTGACTTCAACACCGCAGCGGTGGCTTCAGGGGTGCAGACGGGTGGCTTCTGTGCCACAGCTGGGGGGGCGTCTACGTCATCGACAGACAGATGGCTTCTAGAACAGGCGTCCGTCTCCCCAGGCTGGAGGCTGAAGTCCTGGCCAGCCTGGCCATCATGGCCAGGTTCTATAGAGGGCTTTTCCCGCTGTGTCCTCACAGGAGCCCTCTGTGCACAGCCACCTTCTTGTAGGGCACTGATGCCACTGTGGGCCCACCCGTGACTCATCCAGGCCCCGCTGTCCCAGGGCACCACCTCCAATGCCCCCATGTTGGGAGGTCAGGCCAGCAGCACATGGATCCGTGGGGCTGCCAACACCCACAGGAAATGGGTCAGCACCACAGCATTAGCACAAACCCGTGACCGTGCAGACGAGAGGAAACGTCAGTGTTTGTAGGGCAAGGGTCGCGACACTGGAGCCATGCATCCGGCCACTTAGGTTGGCGAAATGAAACTTGCAACCGGCCTGGTGTCCGAACACACCTCGGGTGGCTTCTCCATCAAGAGGACTCTCTCAGATGTTCCCTGGGTGCTGCCAAGCGGCGGACACCCTTGCCCGTGACCCCTCGGGACTCCCAGAGGACGAAGCCCAGGGGTGAATCACCGGGAGCCTGGGACGCCCAGCTGCAGTCTCGTTTGTGAGCACCCCAGCTGCCTGGTGATTGACAGGCGGACACGCGGTCCAATCCATCACGAGGCCGGAGCACGGAGACAGGTCTGTGCAGAGCTGAAACAGATGTCAGCGCGGGAGGGTGTTGAAGGGGACGTGGAGGGCCAGCGGCCCGTGTCCTGTCCATGTTCCAGACGGCCGCTGACCCTGGTTGCTCTCCTTAAATACGTAACTACATGCTCGAGTGTTCTGGCATCCGGATGCCTATGGTAAACCAATTCCCAATTTTTCAGAAAAATGAAACATGCACTCTTTCCTCCTTGGTACGTTGGCATCATCTGCCATGGGGCTAAAGGTCACTCTCAGCAAGCCTTGGTTTCATCACTTTTAAGTCACAAAGAAGACCCTGGCCCGGACACCAAACAATCAGCCCTCTGTTCGCCGGGCATCAAGAAACAGGTCTGAAGCCCTTCCAGAGACTTCGACCCCATGTTGATTGACATTAAGGCAAGCTCTGAGTTTGGGAGTGAAGCATGTCACACGGACATTCCCCAGCTTCTCCTGAGGGATTCCCGGCTGAGGACGCTGGACAGTCCTGGGCCGAACAGAGAGCCAGACCTAAACGCCTGTCCGCGGTGTGAATGAGGACGCCAGGCCACACGGCTCGGGCTATCCAGCTGGGGAGACCTGGACGGCTGTGGGGGTGGCTTTCAAGGTTGACCCTAGACCGGACGCTTGGGATCTCCTGGAAACCTGACCACTCTGTGGTGAGAGGTCAGTCCCGCCCAGCTCCAGGGATCTCCGACTCCGGGCATCTGTGTTCCCAACTCTCTCTCTGTCACTTGGACCACACCCGGGTGGGTGACTCCGAAGCCAATCCAGGACTGTGAGCAGCCACCAGGGGCTCAGGGGGTCCTAACCACAGGGCAGGAAAAGGACCCTGGAGGCCCTGGGCCATCAGCAGTGACCTTAGCAGCCCTTCCTCAGAGACTGGCCAAGACGTAGCGGCTGAACAGTTAAAGTCCTGCCCGTGCCCTGGCCTGGCCTCTGCAGAGCGGGCCACGTGGGAGCCCTAACACGGCAACGAGCTAAAGGTCAGCTCACCCAGAGCCCTGTCCCCAGGTCCAGGGGCAAGTGCTGATGAGAGAACGGGACACAGTCCCAGAGACACAGGACGAGGTCAGGTGAAGTCGGGGTGGAGACGGGGGAAGTGGCCACAGCCAAGGACCCCTGGAGCCACGGGAAGCTGGAGGGGCCAGGAAAGAGCCTCCCCGAGCCTTTGGAGGAGGCACAGCCTGCCTCGCCCACCCCCGCCTCCAGGTCGCGAGCATCCATTTCTGCTTGAAAAAGCCACCCGTGTTCTGGGGCCACGGCAGCCTCAGAACATGGACCCAACTAACAGGTCACCCCCAGGCCCACCGGGCACCCCTTGTTTAAGGACAGGAGAAATTTCCACTTTGAAAGGGGGAAGCTTTGGCATGGCCCACCTTCTCCAAACACCAGAACCGGCCCTGCTCCTACACAGAGACCAGGAATGAGGAGCCCCGCTGGCCCCGGCTGGCCCCGGCTGGGAGGGATGCACGTCCCCAGAGGCCCCGAAGCTGCAAACAGTCCTCAACGGTTGGTCAGCGTCGGCCTCGCCATCCCTGCAGGAAGCCAGTCTGCAATCCTGGGTGCTGCCCCAAGCCAAGGCACCCAGGTGCTGACCCTGCGCACAGCCGGGCCTGCTCTGGAGACTCGCACCCTGCAGGTGCCCTCCCGCCACACGCCTGTCCCTAGTCCCAGCCAACTGCAGAGGGTTCCAGATGCCAGACATGTTCGCCACTGTCACCAAGGGGCGAAGGTCCTCTAGGGCCTGAGTCCTCCACTCCACCTGACGGGCGTGGGCGCCAGCCAAGTCCACGGCCCCATGCCCACCAAGGGGCAGAAGCAGCACGGTGCCATGGCCGAGAGCCTGCGCCAGCCCCACCAGCTGAGCGGGCACACAACCCCCGCCACGGACTAGAGGCTGGGGCGCCATGAGGGTGGGCTGGGGCTGTGTGAGGGTGGACTGGGGCACCATGAGGGTGGGGCAAGATCTCCCCTCCTTGGAGCTGAGTCTCTCGTCTTCAGAAGGGGACGATGACCCCCCTGTTGTGGGCATGGAGGGACAGCATGCTTGACACTCCAGAGGAGAAGCAGTGGGTGGGATAACACTTGAACTTCCTTCTGTCTCTCGTCTCCCGTGGCCAGTTGTTTGGCGACTTCTGGGCAGTTTGGACTAAAACCATGAGGCCTTTGGAGTCCAGTGGAAGCAGCAAGTAGGCGGGTTGGAGAGGGGCCTGTGGCTGTGACCCTGCTGGGACACGCGTCCTGTCCACTGCGCGGGCAGGGCCAAGGGGCAGGAACACCTCTGGAGATAGCAGGGGAGGGGCAGGAGAGCAGGTAGCGTCCCTGGGGCTGGGGGGGAGCTAGAGGAGAGAGGCCAGGTCCCTGAGGCTGGGGACGGACGGGCAGGAGAGAGCGCGAGGTCCCCTGGGCTCCAGGTGCGCAGCGCTGCTCGGTGCCTCGGCCTTCTCCACGCAGGCCTGTCCCCCCCTCGGTGCCCACCAGTCGAGCCCGAGCCCCTGATGCGTACTTCAGAGCCCTGGCTTCCCTGCTCGCTCGCCAGCTCACCCTCACCATGGCCACCCCGCCCCACCTCGACCCCACTGTCCCTTGTCCCAGTGCAGGCCAGGCACTGGCCTTCAGCTCAGACCCCCTTCCCAGGAACCTTGTCACCTCCTCTCTGCGTGCCCAGAGCCCCACCTTGATCCCCCTGCAGCCCCAGGGCTCAGGTCAGTGCCTGGCACACAGTAGGTGCGCAGCAAGTGAATGGGATGAGTTGATTCAAGCGGCACCTGAGCTCCTCAGGAGGCACACGGCGGCCGCAGGCCCCGCGCTGAGGAGCCAGGTGTTCTCCCCCTCTCTCCCCAGCCCTCCCCCCTGGATTCCCTAAGTTCCTGTTATGCGTGAGGGACATTTCAAAGTGTGACAGAAAATTGTTTTCAGAATAGAATGCAAGACTTCTGAAGCAAGGGGTGTGAAGGAAAAGCGTCGATTCTGATGACATTTAGACAGAAAAACAAGGACCAGGCGTCTCGGCTTTGACTTTGGAGCCAGAGTGAGTTTGTTCAAGGTGGGCTCGGGGGTGGAGCCGAAGGGGGACCCAGCGCCCGACATCAAGCAGGAGGTGTCTCTGGGAGTTCAGGAGGACCTCAAGGCCACATGGGCCACGGTGACAATCAGCAGCTGGTGATAACCACCGTCCCCGGCCTGGGAGCCCTGCCAGGCACCGAGGCTAAGTGGGGGAGCTGACTCGGCCGACCCAGGGTCCCTCGGGCACAGTGGTCAGGACGTAAGGATACGTCCATTGCCTTGGAGATGGTGGCCACCTTTGCCTCAGAGCAGGCGCCAGCCACCATGGCTACAAGCTGGAGCCCAGAGAACTTTCTGGAGGACTCGAGGGGGGCTGCATGCCCTTGGCCCCCAGGGAGATGGACCCCAGTTCTTCTTCCCTGGAGTCGGGCTGGACCAGTAGGACGCTGCAAGTCTCCAAGGCCAGCCCTGCGAGGCCTCACATCTGCTCCCAGGCCTCCAGGCAGCTGGGGGAACCCCGCAGCCGTCCAGGGGGCCAGCGGAAGAGGCCTCGGGACTGTGCAGGTGGAGGCTGGCTGAGGCCAGGACTCCAGGCTGGTGAGAGGCTTGTCACCACCCAGTGTCCCCGTCTACCCCACAGACCTTCAGGGGTAGTAAGTGGTCGCTCGGCAAACCACTCTGTGGGGACAGCAGGACAGTCCTGGACTCAGGAGGGAGCAAGTCCCAGGGGCCTTCAGTGCCACTAACTCCAACAGCAAATCGGCAGGTGGAAAAGGCCATGCCCATGGCTTGAGCCAGTGCCAATCCGTTCCCAAAAGTCAGCTGACCTCAAAGTCGGGTGACGGTCCTCACAAGGGTGTCACGGGCTCCATGTTGAAGGGTGCCGCTGCGGCAGGCAAGTGTCGGCAGGCTGACCTGGGCCAAGCTGGGGCCCAGAGCGGGACGGGGGACATGGCGCCCAGGGCTCTCAGGACAGGGTGACGGGCCCACCTTTCTGGGCATCTGTCCCAGGCAGCATGGTCAGTGTTCACCTCTGGAATCAGACTTCCCCAACACTGCCCATGACCAGAGAGAACGTAGGCATATCGCACGGCCACTGGAGCCTCCGCTTTTACATCTGAGGACAAGATGTCCTGCTGACCAGAATTCACCAAGGCCCTCCACAGTGGTCCTGACAAGTCAGTCCTCTCTGCAAGGGGTTTCAGGTGGAGGTTGAGGGTAGAGGCTGAAGTAGAGGTTGGGAATAGAAGCTGAGGGTGGAGATTCTGGGTAGAGGCTGAGGAGGAGGCTGGGAGTAGAGGCTGGGGTTGAGGCTGAGGTGGAGGCTCAGGACTCAGTGATACCCCGTTTGACAGCCCCCCACCTTTGTAGTAGATGGGTTCTCCCTCCCACCATGGTCCTCCCCTCTGGGTGGTCATGCAAACCGAATGGCCAACACACACTGTTACCAGTCTACGCAGAATGGTTCTCCCCCACAGCCTCCATCCTAGGCTCACTACTTGCTGGACAAGCTGCCCTGACTCCTGACCAGTCCACTTGCCCGTGAGCAGGAGAGCTGGAGGCTGACGTCAGCTTACAAACCCTCAGCTGTCGACCTCCGTCACTGGTGGAGAAGTCAAGGCACAAGGACCCCAAGTGGTCAGCTCCTGGTCACGGGGCTGCGAGCGCAGAGCCAGGGTCCTGGCCGGACAGTCTGGCTCCAGGCTCTGTCACCAGGGCCGTGCAGTGGGGATGGGGGACGCACACCCACCCGGGACCTCCATCGTGACAGCAGGTCCTCAATCATCTGGCGACAGACGGATGGGGACGTCGCTGGAAACAGAATCCATCTCTTTTACAACCGTCCTGACGTGTTTATGGATCCCAGGTTGTGGGCAGGGGCGGGGCGGGGGTCTTCCGGCCACCCCTGCCCCCGTCCGGGCCAAGTCCATCCCCTGCAGGAGAAGGAGGGAAATCACCCATTTTGAATGGTCTCTGCCCAGACCCTGTGGACTTTCAGACGTGGCCCAGAATCCGAGACAGAGGGCAGGGTGAGAGGTCTCTGCCTGGACGCTGGCTGCCCAGGGGCCTGGGCTTGGCCTGGGCGCCTGCCTCCACCTACCAGCTCCTGCTGGGTCCCGTTCCCAGGCACGGCTGGCAGGGCGCCCTGTGGGGAAGGAAGCCCTGGATACTGACCCCTCCGGCAGCCCAGAGGCCTGGTGTCTGGGGCCAGGCCACCCCCGTGTTATCCAGGGAGGTACTAATGTCCAGCACACACTGGGCTCTGGGGCGAGACCCAGGAAACTCCAGTCCCTGATCCTCGGCACACAACCTCCCCAGGCACAGGACGGAGGCCCAGAGGCAGCGAGGAGCTTCTTCCAGCCCAGGAGGGACCTGAACTTAGAGTCCAGGTACACCAGAGGGGAAGGAAGCCGCGGGGCACCACAGGCTGGCCTCCACAAGCCCAGGCCTCGACCACCGGGCCCGACCGTCCCCAGGTGCTGCATGGGCACAGCCCTGCAGGATCACGGACCTGCCCACCCACTAGAGGAGGGGCCTGGAGGACACCCTGGGGCCTGGAGCTACCCCATGGTCCCCAGGGGAACTGGTCAGAGTGTCAGAGACCTGGGCAGCAGCGGCTCTGAGACAACTAGCTGACCGGAGAGGGAGCCCCCCGCGTGCAGAGGCAAAGCCTGCGACTGCCACACAGGCTCTGATGGCGGGGACCACCCATTAGCTACAGGTCGCTTGGGCAATAAATGGCCCAGGGCAGAAAGTCCCTCCCTGGGGTGCGGCTGGGGGCAGGAGGCCGTCTGCCCTGGCCCTGGCCTGCAGGCTCCTGGGAGTCTCTTGAAGCAGGAGCGCGATGGCGAGGAGGGCAGCTGGCAGCACGGCCGGCCACCCGCTCTCCAGGTGTGGAGGTGCTGGCCCCGCTGCCCACACCCACCTCGTGGCCTCAGCACACAGCCCCCTCCAGTGGCCGTGCCCTTCCCTGAGGGGTGGCTGGAGGCCGTGTCCCTGTGGACCACTTGTAGCTCCAAGGTGGCCCCAGACAGCCACCAACGAGGACACCCCCGGCCCTGGCCCCAGAACGCTGCTTCTCCAGCAGCCCGGGGCCCACCTGGGCAGAGAGCGCCTGGCCAGGGTGGCTCTGCCGCATGCTCTAGTTTCAGGAAGTGTCCACACTTGACGGCAGAGATGGCCTCCACTGCCTCTGCACAGCTGGACGCTGCACCCGCAGGAAACAGAAGAGGAGCTCACTGGACGGCGGGCCCCGGGGGGATCGCTGCTGCTGGCCACCGTCCCTGACACTGCGCTGGGGAGCCAGCCGGGGACACTGGAGAGACGCCACAGCACGGGCCCAGCCACGTCCAGCTCTGGGCTGGCCACTTCCCCGAGGGGCAGCACTGCCGAGCTCACAGGGGAGGGTCTGACTCGGGGTCATTTTCAGAGTTTTAAAAACAGAGCGTCCCCCTTTCCTTTCCGCTGCTGACCAGCCCTGGCTGACTGGCGGGAGCAGGACCCTGCCCCGAGGCCGTTTCGATCAAGTCTCAGGGAAAAGGTGACTCTGTCAAAACCCAGGCGGCAGGTGGCGGGCGGCTCACAGGCTGCTGGCCCGAGGCCTCCCCTGGCCTCCTTGAACTTTTGAACTTGGGCTCTGCTGAGGAGGTTGGGCCTGGAGCCGGACCCTCCCGGGCCTCCCTCTGCAGGCTGGCCTCCGCAAGACCCGGGCCTCGACCCTCACGGGCCAGACCCACCAACGAAGCGGGTGGCTTGGTCCTGGGGGCACACTCGGGCGCCCTCCCGCCAAGCTCAGCCTCCCCTTGCCCCCTGTGCCACGTAGCTGGCAGCGCACCTGTCCAGGGAGCGCCTCTGCCCAGAGGGCAGCTTCAGAGTCCGCAGGACGGGTCTGTGAGCAGGCGTGGCCCTCATTCCACCCCAGAGAGGAGGACTGAGGAGCCCCTGGGGGACGGGACCCCTGTGCGGGCACCCCGTCCCTGAGACGCCATTCCACACCTGGAAACTGGGAGGGAGGCCGATGCCCAGGCTGGCCGGGCTCGCTGGGCCCTGGGAGTCCAGGCCAAGATCTAGACCGGCCCAGGAGAGGCCGGGCCTTAGCTGTAGGAATTAGCTCACTGAGCCGTGGCCACCCGCGGGGTGGTCCACTTTACAGAGAGGACACTGAAGCCCAGAGAGAGCACGTGGCTTGCCCAGGGTCACCGAGTGAAGAACCTGACCCCTGCGCAGCAGGCCTCTGAAGCCGGGCTCCCACCCCACCCGCACGTGGGGACAGAGGCCGGGTGCCTCCACCCGTTCCCGGCACCTGGCCATCGCCCACCCACTGCTTCGGGACCAGTGGGGCGGAGTGACGATGGCCACACTGGGCACCTCCCTTCAGATCACATCCTCAGCCCCAGCCCTCTCTGCGTGCCTGCGGAGCCGGGCCCTGGGACGCCACCCTGCGGGGACCCCTGCCTGACTGGGGTCCTGCCATTCCCAGGGCTCCCACTCGCAGCCGAGAAGGAAGCTCCGAGGAAGGCTGGCCTGTCCCCTCCTTCTCCAGGCCCTGCCGCCCCGAGGCCTCGCCCGTCCGTCACCTCGTGGGAGAAGAGCTGCAGAGGGCCTGGTCACTGTGACCCTGGGCAGGGCCGGAGCCTCACTCTGCACTGACAGCCGCTTCCCCTCCCGGGGCACAGGGAGGCCGTCGGAGGGTCACACACTTGCAGGCTCCAGGGGCCCGGGCCACGCGTCCTCCTTGAACCTGAGAGTGGGCGCTGGCGTGGAGAGGGGTCTGCAGATGTGGCGGGCGGCAGTTGTTCTGGATTAAGGTGGCCCTGGACAGGCGCAGGGAGACACCAGGGAGGCCACGGGAAGGCAGAGCCGGAGGACCCTGAGCCCGGGGGCTGGAGGGACAGGAGGGAGCCTCGCCTGGAGCCTCTGCAGGGAGCGCAGCCCGCCACCCGCCCGCCCGCCTTCTGCCTGGGGGCTGAGGGTAAAGTCCCCTTAGCCCTCGCCCACGCGCAGGAGGCTGCGACGGCCGGGGGGCACCCGCACTCTGAGGCGCCCATCAGGGCGGCTCCCAGGCCTCCTGGTCATGGTGGCTGCCAGGTCCCCTCTGTCCCCCCCGGGTCTGGGCTGTGGCAACTCCCACAGGCCCCTCTCCCTGCACCAGCCACAGCTGTCCAGCTGCCCAGGCAGGAGCCTTGAGAGAATAGTGTCCCCAGGTCAGCAGGGCAGGGACAGCCTGCCCAATGTTTGGGGAGTGGGACCTTGTTCACCCCTCAAACCCAAACGCAGATGTGCAGGGTCAGGGGCCGGCGCTAATTAACGTAGGAAGGCCGCATACACTTGACCGGACCGCGAGGTCACAGGGAAGCCTAGAGACGCCCTGCGCTATTTTTAGCCTTGAGGGTCTCACGAGGGGCCAAGGCTCCAGGGCGGCTGGGCTGGCCAGGGAGGGCGGCTGAGCTGGCCAGGGAGGGTGGCTTGGTGGGGGACAGGGAGGCGAGGAGGAGGGAGGGGCAGGCGCCAGCCCCCGCAGGCCACGCCAGGCCCGGCTGAGCCGTCCAGGTGAGGACTCCGCGGGCAGCTGGGCTGTCCCCAGCCAGTGACGGCTGGGGCCCAGAGCCGGGGAAACCGAGGCACGGACTGGCTCACGAGGCTCAGACTCAGCCTGGGAACGAGGACCAGGGTGGGAAGCAGCAGTCCCCACGGACCCCACACCACAGGTGGCCAGTGGGGAAAGGACCGGAGGCCGAGGCGCAGAGCCCCCGGTCCCAGCCCTCCCCTGCCTGTGGCCTCTGGGTGAGGGTTTGGCACTTGGCACTGCCACCACCCAGCTGTAAAACAGGGTGACGTGAGACGGCCCCAACCAGAGGGCAGCCAGCACCCGGTGGCCTCTCGGTCGCCCTGACCACCCAACCTGGTGCTGGCATGGGCCAGTTATGGAGGTGGGGGACAGACACTGTGACCATGGTGCCCAAGGATGTTCCAAAGACAGGGTGGCCCCTGGGGCAGCCGCAGGGTGAGTTTAGAGGAAGGCAGCAGAGGTCAGCTCTGGCTGGACATCCCGGCTGGACTGGGGCGGTGCAGGTGGAGCTCCTGTTACAGGAGACGGGCTTTCCCGCGACTCCCAAGGGCCCTTGTGGGTCAGTGGTCATTCGGCCCAATCAGCTGGTGGAGGAGGGTGGCCTCTGGGGCACCTGGGCAGCGCCCGCCCCCACGGCCTCCTTCTCTAGCTGGGGCAGCTCTCGCCGCGCTCCTCGTCCTCCCGCGGCCCCATCTTTGAAGCCTCTTGAACCTATAATCAGAGACGAACTGGGCAGCGTGCGACAAGTCCCTTCAGCTCTCCTTCCAGGGCCCTGCCCAGGTGGACAAGGTGGGAAGGCCAGGAGAGCCCGCACCCTGAGGCAGGGCCGCAGGCACCTTCTGTGCACCGCTAGACTGCTTAATGCCCTGGCTGGAAAAGCACGTGGGCCGAGGCCGATACACAGGTGTCATGGCTGCCTCGCGCATTCTGCCCTCTACACACGTCTCCCCCTTGCCTCTGTGAGCAGTGCACAACCTGCGCAACCCCACATAGCACCCCGTTTCTAGAGATATTAGGTAAAATACAAATGCAAAGATACACATCCATAAAGATGGTTTGTTTCTTTCCACTTTCTAAATGTTTTTCTATAGTGAAGAGACTTGGGGAATACACCAGGCCCATAGCAAGAGCACACCAAGAGCTTGATATGTGTTAATTCTGTTAATATGCACGATGATCCTACATGGTCAGCGTTATGATAACCTCCATTTTCCACATGAGAGCTCGAGGCCCTGCGACGGCAGGTAACTCGGCCAGGCTGGCTGCTCCCAGCTGCCCGTGCAGCCCCAAAGCTTCCTCGCCTCACTGTTGCAGGTAGGATCCCTTCGCGATGCCACCTTCGCACCATGTCACTTAGCCCACTCTCTTGGAGAGAGCTCCTCTGGCCTTGTTCACGGAGGCTCAAGACCAGGCCGTGGGAGAAGGAGCCCAGGCCCTCAGCCCCTTCCTAGGGTGGGGAGGCGCCACCTCCGTCCTCCTGCCGGGGGAGGGACGGCGTCCACCAGCCGATGCTGGCGGCTCCTGCGCGGGCAGAAGTGGCTGCAGCCCCGGGGGTGAGGGCCAGGGGACAGGCCTCAGGCCGAGAGCAGGCGATGGTTCCCCAGAGCCTCGCCTCCTAGCCTCGATGGGGTGCGCCCCGCCAAGCTTCAAAGACAAACCCAGTCCCACTGTAGCTCCCCAGCGGGGCCCACTGCCCTTGCCTGTAGCCCTCTGCGCCCACCCTGCTCTCCTGGGTTTCAAGAACTTCAGACGGTGTCTGTCCTCCCTCTCCTGAGGCCCCACTTTTGAGACTCCTCAGTGGCCCGAGGGAGAACGGGAAGGGCCAGAAACCCAGCCGGGCAGGCCTGGCGAGCAGAGGCAGATGCCCCGCTCTAGGAACAGGAAGGACAGCCGAGGTGTTCGCCCCAAAATCTCAGATGGGAGAAAGTGAGACCCAGGAGGCCACTGGTCGACGGGAGGTGGACCGCGAGTCGGTGCTCCACCAGGACCACGAGCCCCACTAAGCCCCACCTGCAGCCCTGGCCTCACGGGAAGAGAGCAGGGGCCTTGGAGCAGGGGGTCCCCTCCCCGCCTGAATCACGGAAATGCCGACAGGTGGGACCGGCAAGAAGACGACGTGAAGAGTCAGGGCCACGTGCCTCCGAGTCTGGTCTACGGGGAGCCGAGGGCAGCACGGAGGTGAAGGACCCGCTGCCACTGGCTGGACAGGCACCCAGCCTCAGGGCCATCCTCCAGAGGGACCAGGGGTGGAGCCGTCCAGGCCCCGCCGCCACCTGGGAGAAGAGCTGCAGGGTCCAGTCCAGGGACGCCACATCCCGGCTTCCGCTCCGGTCCCAGGCTCAGGGCCACAGTCCAGGCTCCGAGGAGCCCTGCCCTGAGGAACCAGTCCAGGTCGCTCACACGAAGCAGTTCTCAGCCGGGGTGGACCTCGCGGTTCTTTTCGACAGACCTGGGAGATGAGGTCATGACGGAGGTCAACAGAGGTGTGCAAGCAGGACAGAGACCCCGTCAGCTGTAACAGGGGCGTGGGCAGCAGGAGGGAGGGGCACAGAGACCTGCAGCCCAGCTCACGCCCACCGGCTGCACGGCTGACTTGGCCATGGCAGAGGGCCGTGCCATGCAGTCCTGGGGCCCCTGCACGTGGACACCTGGCCTCCAGCACAGCTCGCAGGGCCCCTCTGCCCTGGGTGTCTGCGGTGCCACGCGGACTGCGGGCCCCAACCTCCCATCATGGTTTGGAAGTTGAGTTGATGTTGACCGAGGAGGGCAAGAGGCTGGTCCCTGGGCTGGCCATGCTGAAGTCCACTTCTCAAGTGGCCCTGGTGGGATGCAGCCCAGCCCTCCCGCAGTGACCTCGGTCCTGCCGCCTGCCCTCCACCTGCTGGCCCTGTCACCCCCCAGCCGTGGGCGAGTCTGCCCAGAAAGACTTCCATTATCCCTGGGTTTGGGGGATTGGAAACCAAGGTTCAGAGAAGAGTGCTTTTCCCTCTGATCTGGGCGACTCCCACTGGAAACGGGCTAGGAAGTAAGAACTGGCAGGACCCGGCAGCCGCGAGATGTTGGGGGCTCCAGGGTGGGCACGCTCCAAGAAGGCTTCCCGGAGGAGGGGCCTCTGGAACACAGGAGCCACGAGTCAAGTGTAGGCAGGGAGCTGCCCATCACCGCTGCTAGGTGTGTCCCAACCCAGAGGAAGCACCTGTGTCCGCTGCGCCGTAGCCCAGGCCGCCAGCTTGACTCTGGCCCCCAGGGGCTTTGCCTGGAGTCCCCAGGTGCCACTGTGACTCCACGCTGCAGGAGGCAGGGGTGGCTTCCGTGGTGCAGACCAGTGGAGGAGACCTCAGCGCCTGAGGGCAAGCCTCAAGCAGGCACTGCCTGGCCCATGGCGCCCTGTGGACAGCCACACTGGAAGGCCCACCCCACCTGGGCGTCCTCTAGATGTGTGTCACACACAGGAAGTCTGAATGATGCAGGGTCACTCCAGCTGCCCGGGGAACCTTGTCCAGCCAGCAGGGTCCAGCCCTCTGGGGCGCCCAGCACACATTCTCTGTTGATGGCGTCGGCGCCCCTCACCCTGGCCTGCTGTGTGGACGTGGGTGTGAGTGCAGCTCCGTCTCACTGGACAAGCGCCCACCTGGCCATCTTCACAGCCCCCACACGACCAGCTACAGAGCATGAGGTCACCTCCTCCCAGACGGCAGTGTCAATCAGTCCTTTTCCAAAGGCCGGCTTCGCTGTCCAAAGGCAAGACGGGGACATGCAGCGGGCAGGCTGGGTGCAGGAGTGGCCGCCAGGAGCAGGTTGGCTAGTGGGTAGGCGGGCCCGCGAGCCAGCGCCAGGGAGCAGGCCTTTGAACTGTCCCCGCAGGGCTGTCACAGAGGCCTGATGAGCCACCCAGCACAAACCCCGCAGAGCGGGCACGTGGACTCCATTAGTCGGCTGCACTCCTGCCCGCCGCAGCTCCCGCGCCCAAGGAACCTGAGCGAGGGAGTCGCGGGGTTGATTTTCCTAAATGGATTTTAGTCAGGCGAGTCGGGGCCTCTCTGGAGTGTGTGGAGCTGACAGCCCTCCCGCCAGCCTCGATTGGTCCCTGGGGTGGTGACAACGCTCCCACCTTGGAGTGAGGACCCTCCCAGGTCTAGGGAGCAAAGCCTGCAGCTGGGGCCAGGGCCAGCCAGAGGCGGGGGCTGGGGCCTGGGGCCTCTGGTCCCACTGCCCCCCTGGGACCTCAGCCGCTCCTGGGCATCCCCACGCCCAGCTCCCCTCGGTGGCTGTCCCAAGGGCCACGTGAGTGGCACAGAGTGAAGAGTGACAGCAGCCCCTGGCATGCAGCCAGCGTCCGGCAGACCTCTGTCCGCTGGGAGGGAAGAAAAGCCAGCGACCTGGGCCGGGCGCAGTGGCCATGCTGCCACACCCCCTTGGAGGCTGAGGCAGGGAGCAAGGTCCAGGCCGGCCTCAGCAGCTTAGGAGACCCCACCTCAAACTCAGAGCCAAACTAGCTGGGGCTACAGCGAGGGGGCACCCCAAGCTCCACGCCCAGCACCAAGCAGGAAGGGAGCGAGCGGCAGCTGCCCTGGGTTCCAGGTGTGCCAGGCACCGGGTTCTTCCAGGCCTCCACCGCCTCCTCTTGAGGTTCTAGAGGCTGCAGTGCGGGTGCCCACCCAGCCTCCGTGCTCGAGGCCCAGTGTAGGCCCCAGGCTGAGGGCGCTCCTGAGACTCCCACGTGAAGAGGCTGCCTGCGGACTCCCCGGCCTGGGAGCTGCGGCCCTGTTCTGATCCAGGAGCCGCACTAGGGAAGGAGGGGTGGGCCAGGCCTCACCAGCTGTGTTGGGGTCACTGGGGCCGAGCTCTGGGGACCTCAGTGCTGTGTGGGGTCACTGTGGCCGAGCTCTAGGGACCTCAGTGCTGTGTGGGGGTCACTGGGGCCGAGCTCTGGGGACCTCAGTGCTGTGTGGGGTCACTGGGGCCGAGCTCTGGGGACCTCAGTGCTGTGTGGGGTCACTGGGGCCGAGCTCTGGGGACCTCAGTGCTGTGTGGGGTCACTGGGGCCGAGCTCTGGGGACCTCAGTGCTGTGTGGGGTCACTGGGGCCGAGCTCTGGGGACCTCAGTGCTGTGGGTGCTGCGACTCGCCCCACTCTCAGGCTGCACCCCACGTGCCCTGAGTCCCCTCCCCGCCGGGCTGTGGTGTCTAAGGACCAGTGATGGCCCTCAGTTTCCCAGTGTTTCCACCCAAAGCAGAGCAAGCAGAGGGCAATGTCGCTCGTGGAGCTGGCTCAGACAGTGGGCACTGAGTCCACTGCAGGGGCATTGAGCTCAACTCAGGGGAGGCGTCTGGAGTCCCCAGCAGCAAGCCCGGAGGCTCACATCACAGGGGCGGTACTGGCCGGGAAGTGGCCCCGGGAGGCCACGCTCAGAGCGGGAAGTGAGCTGGAGAAAAGGAAAGCCCAGGAGGAGGAGTCCTACCAAGAAGTGTTCAGAGGGCAGCTGGCACTTTGGGGGCGGGAGTGCACATTGCCTGTGCTCACACTCACGGCGTGAGCACAGACTGATTCTCACACTCACGGCGTGAGCACAGACTGATTGATTCTCACACTCATGGAGTGAGCACAGACTGATTGATTCTCACACTCACGGAGTGAGCACAGACTGATTCTCACACTCACGGCGTGAGCACAGACTGATTGATTCTCACACTCACGGAGTGAGCACAGACTGATTCTCACACTCACGGCGTGAGCACAGACTGATTCTCACACTCACGGCGTGAGCACAGACTGATTGATTCTCACACTCACGAAGTGAGCACAGACTGATTCTCACACTCACGGCGTGAGCACAGACTGATTCTCACACTCACGGCGTGAGCACAGACTGATTGATTCTCACACTCACGGAGTGAGCACAGACTGATTCTCACACTCACGGCGTGAGCACAGACTGATTCTCACACTCACGGAGTGAGCACAGACTGATTGATTCTCACAGTGCTGAGGTCAGAAACCCGCCCAGGTCTCCCGGGCTGACAGCAAGGTGTGGC